CAAAGAACACCAATCATACATAAAAAACAGAGAATATCATAAATCACACATTTGTCAACATGCATTTGATAATTGCCATAAAATTCAATGGAATAAATCCACAATTTTAACAAAAGAACAATCCACAAAAAAACGTAAAATTAAAGAAAGCGCACTAATTTTACTAAATCAAAATAATTGTGTTGCTTCATGTTCATTTAATTTAAGTCATATATGATTACCTATGCTAAAATCTGAAATAGACCAGAGAAACATACACCCAAATTAAATTTACACCAAAATTATTAATTAACATTACCTTTGCTAATTTAAATAATGAGATTAAGTCAAAGTCACATAACTGACAAGTTGCACAGACGAATTATCAGAGCGAATGTTCATATACTGTATTATCCTACTATTGTTACACAATTTACTAACATACTCTTTTTTAGGTTCATTTAGGTTATCTGTAATAAAAGACATGAGGAAATTCTGTCTTTTTCAAAGATAAAAATTTTTGAGGCGAAATACCCAAAAAGAAGTTTGTAAAAAAATGAATCCTCCTCAACAATATAGAACTTATCTAAACATGCTGTTGAAAAAGTAGGAAAACGTAAAATGTAAGTGTTAATTTATATAATTTGACTGTTTTATATTGGTTTCTTAAGTTTTCTAAGATTTTATAAGGTTTTTAAATAAATCTAATAATTAGTCAATAACTTACAATGTAAGGCGCTAAATTGCTTTTACTTGCTGAATCAACTTGATTAAAAACTAGTTAATAAATATAAAAAATAATTTCAACAGTTGAGTTAAATTGTGCGTTTTTATAAGGTAAAAAATCTTAATTAGTAACCTGAAGCTGAAATACTGAAAGTTTTATGAATCCTTGTGAACGCATGGCTAGATTTTTCATAGTATACGGTAAAAAGGCGAAAAAATAACCTGCTTGTGTGCTTTGTGGTACTCTAGTGACCAAGTTGTTTGTGGCAGGATCGTGCAAATCCACCCATTGGGTTGTTTTTGACTCCACAAATTGTCCATCAATGAACAATTTGGTCGTTGGAGCTACATTCGAATATTGCCGTTTTAAAACATTGAGCAATGGATTCACCTGAAGTACAGAAAAATAATAAAATCGGAAACTAACTGCGGAATCTAACGTCTGATGCTTAACTTAAGTGGTTTTTCCAGGATTTTGAAGGATTTTTTATAAAATTCTATATTGAAATGTTTATTATTTCTAAAATTCGACATACATTTTTATTTGAGCCACTTTTCACTTCTTGTGAGTTTTATAAATTCTCTTAAACCCATGATTAAAAGTTGGATATTTATAGCCCCTTTTAACAAGACAAGTCGTAAGTAATTCACTGAATTTATTTCAATTAAAATATAATGCAATCAGAGTGATCAGGCAAGGGAATAACAATGGAAATTCTATTTGAAATTGAAATCAGGGGGAAAGGTCAGGCAGCCCATATCGGCCAGAAATATAAATCCCAAATAATAGACCCTCATTTGGAGGCTTGATCAATATTTGCATTAGAGCAAAACTTCCTTAAAACTGTACATTTTTCTAATTACAACATATTAGAAGAAAATTGTTAGTCGTGTAAGACGTAAGTAAATAACGAAACCAATAAATTCTAAACGACCACCTAAGTGGGCATAGAAGCCGTGCAGATAAAGGTTGACATATACAGTAGCGGTA